AGCACCTAGTGCTGTTGACAGCTGGTCCTCAGGGATGTGTTTGAGACAAAAGTTGATGAGGGAACCTCTAACAAGATCTGCATTTTTAGTTAGTTAGTAGCTGCTTTATTAACTACATTAACTCCCCATACATAATATGTGCATGCTGTCAGAATTCACAACATTCATGCTGCCTATCTATCTGATTATTTTATCTATTTTATTTGGTATTCTACTGTATTCCAACCAAACAAATGAAGTGGCAGAAATAAAATGCAGCAATGTACATCAGTTCTATTTGTTACACACAGGGTTTATTTTCTTTAGGTTTCAGGAGAGTTTAATCATTTTGCAATATGCACCATTTATATGGCATGCAATCAATTTTCTGTTTTAGTTTAGAAAATATGAAGATGCATCTTTTACTATGTTCCTGATAATGCTTTATTTTTGAATGATTTATGAACATGTAAATATCTTCTCAAAGGTCCTAGGAAATCACTACTTATAAAACATTAAGTCTGTTACATCCTTATTTTTTGAGAAAACATCAAAGACAACTATATTACAGAGAGAAATTATGTAAGCACTTCTGCATGGCACTGTTTTCATCTTATTCAGATGCTCTTCCAAGCCACGAGAGATGACAACATTTTGAAATTCTAAAAAACAGGAAGCAACAAAATAATTTATAGTATTTTTCCTTTTCATATTATGTTATATACAATATAATTATATAAATATAATTATAATACATACAATATGATCTTAACGCAAAATGGTTTTGCTGGTTAAAGCTGGGCGAAATTTTGAGCCTCTGGTAAACACTGAACAAAAAGATGTCTATTTTTAAGGGTAGATCAGGCCACTTGTTTTAATATTATGGGCAACTATCCTTCAAATAAATAAATGTAATTCACTTCATAGCTGTTTGCAGGCCAATGCTGTGTGCAAATGGGTGCTGCAATCGCCTAGAAAATTGCAGCCGCTACACCTAATAGTGAATCATGTGAAGCACTTTTAGACGTCCTCCCTATATCAAACGCAAGAATTATTATAATAATAATCTTTGCTTTTGATATAGCACCTTTTCACATCACAATTTACATACATAAAGCACCTTTCATGTGGGGAGTATGTCTAAAAATGCTGTACACTGCTAGGTGGGCACAGAGCCAGAGGTTTGGGATTAAAGAGGGTGGAAGTGGAAAGATTGCTGAGAGTGCAGTCAAAGATAACTGTGTAATTTCTATACCTGCAAGCCTGGTCAGGAGCGGCACTCTTAACTTTTCACTGCACCATCTGGTGAGTCTTCTTCATCGCATTAAACTTTGTTTTATACCCAAACCCCATTCCCCAACTTGGTTAAAAACTAATTGGGCTGGACAGGTTGGGCTGGACAGGTTGGCTGGACCTCCTCAAAATCTACCACTCCACTCTAGCCTCGGCTAAGTCATCCTTCTACTCCAGGACAATCCTGGAGGCGAAGAACAACCCCAGGCTTCTGTTTTCTACCACATCCCGACTCCTCCGTCCCACCCGCCACCCCGCGCAGGTCATCTCCTCCAACCTTCACTGCGAGGAGATGCTGGATTTCCTTGAATCCAAAATCAAGGGAATCCGCTCCGTGGTCACTCCCCCTCCAACTTACACCCACCCCCCACCCCTTCCTTCCCACACTCCGACTCCTACTCAAGCTATCAAGCTACCGGCCCATCTCCAACCTCCCCTTCCTGTCCAAGGTCCTTGAACGAGTTGTCGCCTCCCAGCTGCGCTCTTTCCTCTCCACCCATGCATTATTCGAACCCCTTCAGTCGGGTTTCCGTGCTGCCCATAGCACAGAAACTGCCCTGGTCAAGGTCACCAATGACATCTTGACCATCTGCGACCAGGGCTCCCTCTGCCTCCTCGTCCTCCTCGACCTATCGGCAGCATTCGATACGGTCGACCACGCTATCCTCCTCCACCGCTTGTCCTCCCACCTCAACCTTCAAGGTCCTGTCCTTGAGTGGTTTAGGTCCTACCTCTCCCACTGTCTTCAGTTTGTTTCCACGAACGGCTTTTCCTCCAGCCCCCGCACTGTGGTGTCCCTCAAGGCTCTGTCCTCGGTCCCCTCCTCTTCACCCTCTATATGCTCCCCCTCGGTGACATCATCCGCAGACATGGGGTTAACTTCCACATGTATGCGGATGACACCCAACTCTACCTTTCCTCCTCTACCCTCAACTCCACGACCACCGATGTCCTGACAGCTGCCTGTCCGACATCGAGTCCTGGACGAGAGACAACTTTCTTCAGCTCAACGTGCGCAAAACTGAGGCCCTCCTGATTGGCTCACGTCAGCGCCTCCGCACCTCAGGCGCTGACACCATCAGCATCCAAGGCTGCACTCTCCACCTCTCAAAGCCAATCAGGAACCTCGGGTTCTGTTCGACCCTGAGCTGTCCTTTCTCCCTCATATCCGCACCACAACTGGCACCGCCTTCCATCACCTCCGGAACATCGCCAGACTACGGCACTACCTCACCCCTCACGCTGCTGAAACTCTGGTCCACGCCTTTATCACCTCAAGGCTGGACTATGGGAACTCTCTCCTCGCCGGCCTTCCCGCCACCTCCCTCCACAAGCTGCAGGTCATTCAGAACTCTGCAGCTCGTGTACTGTCCCGCACCAGGCTTCGCGACCACATCACTCCCACCCTCGCTCGCCTCCACTGGCTCCCCATCCCCCAGAGGATCGAATTCAAGATCCTCATCCTCACCTACAAGGCCATTCACGGCCTTGCTCCCTCCTACCTCTCCAACCTACTATCCCCCTACTTACCTGCCCGTACCCTCCGTTCCTCTGGCTCCGGTCTGCTCCACATCCCCCGCCCCAACCGCCCTACCATTGGTGGCCGGGCCTTCAGCCTCTCAGCCCCATCCCCCAGTGCCTTCGCCTTGCTTCCTCCCTTTCCTCCTTCAAGGCCGGTCTCAAGACCTTTCTCTTTGACCGTGCCTTCAGCTCCCCTCTCGACTCTCTACCCCCTCCTCGCTCCCTCCCTTCCCTCCTCTCACCCTGACCATTTCCCCCCTGCTCGGGTCCTGACCCAACTGTCCAGCGCCTTGGGACGTCCTCCCGATGTGAAAGGCGCTCTATAAATGAAATCTTGTTGTTGATTCTGTGCTATAAGTGCTATAAGTAAGTCTACGTAAAGGGACTGCCCTGCCTTTGCTATTTCAAAGAAACATGGAGCTTTTCTGATGACTTTAAATGCTCTGAGACACTATCCCATGTGAAAGACACTATATAAATGCAATTTTTGTTGGTTGTCCTGGCGTGGGATTAGCTGTTGTACTCGCTGTTATAAGATTCACTTCATTTCTGATGAATTATATTTTGTGAAGAACTTCAAGACATTCAATGTTGTGTGAATGGCACTATATAATATAGTCATTATCATTAGGTATCTCCTTTCTAAAGATCACACAAGATTGCTCCAGAGGAAGAAGGCCGTTTGGTCCATCTGATCTCATTCCTCCAGAACACCCACCCTACCGGCCTCCCATCACAGTATCAAGCTGCTTTTTAAATGAATCTAATGATTTCGCCCTCAACCACCATTCCTGGCAACTTATTCCAGCTGTTAAATTGTTCTCTGGGTAAAGAAAAGCTTCCTGGAATCTGTCTTGAAATTGCCCGTTACATCTCTAAACCTATATCCTTCTACTGTCTTGGAGCATAAAGTATTGATCTGTGTTACTTTTTCAATCCCATTTAAAATGTTTTACATCTCTATAAGGCCCCTTTGGAGTCACCATCTTAATTGAGCCCAGATATTCTCTTGCCTTATCTGCGCTCACTAATCTTTACTTGAGTGGTGGACAACCTTTTTGAAACAAGAAATATTTAAATCAGGAAACATTTATTTTGTTGGCCAACCAAAGAGGTTGTTGCTTTACTTAGATGAGTAGTAGCTGGATGGACTAACATTCACACATCAGGAGAAATGTTTTCATGCACAGGATTGTTAGGATAAGGAATACGCTGCTGGGAGCGATGGTTGAGACAAAATCCGTATTGGCTTTCAAGAGGGAAAAAGACAAATACAGTAAAGAGTGAATTTTGAACGTGCTTACGGTCACCTCCCCCCCTCCCTCTCCCCTGGTTCACTGTCAGACTCAGTCACTGTGAAGATCTCCGGGCGTTACCCAGTGTGAAGGGCGCTGTCTAAATGCAAGTTATTGTTGGTGTTGTTTTGGGCCAAGAGCAGGTAAATGGAAGTGAAAGGACTGCTCTGGAGCCGGCACAGACACGATGGACTGTGCCGTAAATTTCTCCGGTTCCTATTTCGCACCGACCGCCATTACTTCCACTCTGAGGTTGCACTGACATCTTCTCACGAGACAGGATAATAATAATAATAATCCTTGCATTTGACATAGCGCCTTATCACGTCATCGAGACGTCTCAAAGCGCTTCACAGAATGTACTGTAAAGTGAATTGACTGTGTATTTGTGAGCGAACCGCGGCAGCCAATTGCGCACAGCAGCGTCCCACAAACAGTCGTGGATTGAGTGATCAAATTATTATCGTTTTTTTTTTCTTGAGGGATTATTGTTAGACGTGTGGAGTAAGGAAACTTGCCCGTGGTTTTGTCCTGCCGGGAATCGAACCCAGGTCTGTGGCTTGCGAGGCGAGCGCTCTAACCACTGACCAGGACGACCCGCAATCAGAACACGTTTGTAGCCCAAAGTCCACCAAATACTAGCCCCAGAGTAGCCCAGATTGCACGTCACGGGCTAATGCACGTGGAACACAGTTGCCTGATTGTGGGTCAGTGCTTTTGAAGCTGTTCAAGAAAAGGTACGCACCAAAAAACCGCCCAATTGGGCGCGAACCCGCCCAACCCCGGCCGCACTGCGCGAGGAGCGACACTCGCGCCTCCCCGCCCCGCGCGGGGTGTGCCCGTGCGCGTCGTCAGCCGTGCGAGCTATCGGCTCACATGACCTGTGACGTTGCGGGGGGGAAGTCACGTGGGGAGGGGGTTTTAAATGCAAGCGACCGTTAACGGCCGGGACGAGTGAGCGCGAAGCGTGTGGTAGGTGCTGGCGGCGGCCATTGCCGTGTCTGCTCCTTTCATCAACTTATTGTCTGGTGGGTTATTTAGCTGCCCAGTACACGTGGAGTGAAACCGGTCCCGAGGTTACTACACTGGTTTAACTCTACTTGTACTTCAGCCCCTCCCCCCTCCCCCCCCCCCCCCCGGCTCTGGCTGGTCTTGCGGTGCTTTCCTCAACGTGTTTAAACCGCACTTTTATTTTTTTTTGGTGTCGAGCAGAATGTGCCGTAAAGGGGATTGACCCTATTTCGTGGGTGAAATGTGGCCGCCATAGATGACGGGCGATGAGGGGGCGGGGGTGGGGGGGGGGGGTCTGGCTCCCCGAGCTTCATTCGGAGCCCACTGCAGGCCTGCGGGCTGCTCCTCACCCTGATGTGTCTGGGCTGGAGAGAGAGAGAGGGGGGGGGGGGTGGTCGGTCGGTGTGTCTGTTTGAAAAGAGGAGGGAGTTTCTCCCAGTGTGTGCTGACTAATAAATGACCCCCTCTCCCCTCCTCCCCCCCCCCAATAAAATTGGTCACTCAACGCCATAGCTATTTGTGCTGTGCGCAAAACTGGCTGCTGCTCCGCCTCACCGAGCCAGTTTGGCGTCTTGTTTGACCCTCAACTATCCTTTCTACCCTCAACTATCTGTTCCATGACCCGCTCTGCCTTCCCCACCTCCGCGCCATGGCCCGGCTCCGCCACTGTCTCACACCGCGGGCTGCTGAAACCCTTAAACAGGCGTTCATAATATCGAGGCTCAACTCTGCAAACTCCCTGCTTGTCGGCCTTCCCAACTCCTCCCTCCACAGGCTGCAGATCATCCAGAACTCTGCAGCCCGTGTCCTCCCAGGCACCAGGCTCCGCGACCCTATCACCCCCATCCTCGTCCGACTCCACTGGCTTCCCATCACACAGAGGATACAGTTCAAGATCCTGGTCTTCACCTTCAAAGCCCTCCATGGTCTTGTTCCCCCTAACTCTGCGACCTCCTAACCCTCTACCAACCTGCCCGTTCCCTCTGCTCAGCGGGCTCCAGCCTGCTTCACGTCCCCCACCTCGTCTGCCCCACCATTGGTGGGCAGGCCTTCAGCTACTCTGCCCTCACCCTCTGGAACTCCATCTCGCAGTCCCTCCACCTCGCCTCCTTCAAACCCTCTTTGACCGTGCCTTCGATCACCCTTCTTCGCCCTCTCTGATCCCGATCCCCAGCTCGGGTCCGAAACACTGACAGTCCAGCACCTTGGGACGTCCTCCTGATGTGAAAGGCACTATACAAATGTAACTTTGTTGTTGTTGCTGCATTTTGCCCACAAAATACACATTTAATCTGCTTTATGGTATCCTGTGAAGTGCTTTGAGATGTCTTGATGTCATAACGTGCTATGTCAAATGTAAGGATTATTATTCAAGTGCTCTGCTTGCCAGACTCTGCAGCTCTTTCCTACAAAAGGTGCAGAGCATCCAGAACTCAGTTTATGTCCTCTCCCGCACTTGGCTCCATGAGCCCATCACCCCTATCATTGCATGGCTCCACTGCTCCCCAACCCTCAGCAAATTGAATAAATCCTTATTCTTGCATTCAAATTTTTCCCCCTATCTTTGCCTTACCTTGAATGTCCCACATCCCCACTAGTCAGCTAATATTAGGTCTCCTACCTAATTTATCCCTCCATTGTTGGAGGGGCCATCCTTCAGTTAACCTGAGGCACTGTTTCCATGTTCAGGTGGATAATAAAGATATCATGGCAATAGTGGGATCACATCAAAGAAGGCATATTTGGTCTCCTGGGCAACAATCCCCCAGATAAAATTGGTTATTCACTTCATTGCTGTTTGTGGGATATTGCTGTGCAAATTGGCTACCACATTCTCCTCCAAAATACAGTCACTGCCCTTTATCGTAAATGCTGTGAAGTACTTTGAGATATTCTCCCGATGTGAAGCTTCTATAACAAATATATGGATTATTTATTATTACTATATTATTAGTAATAAAGGGAGGTTCTTTCTGTGTCCTGGCAACCAATCCTCCAGATAAAACTGGACATTCACTTAATGCCTGCTTGTGGGACATTGGTGTGTGCAAATTGGCTGTTGTGTTTGCCTACACTTACAATCATTACACTTTTCAGTAAATCCTGTGAAGTACTTTGAGAGGTTTTGATGACTTGATAATGTGCTATTTCAAAAGCAAGGATTATATATTTCTGGAGAGTTTATATAATGTGTGTAGAGATATGTTTGCAGTAATTCTATGATCACAGCTGCTAATAATAACTGCAGACTTGAAAACTATATTTCATTAAAAAATTCATTGTTCAGAATTGGATGTACAGTATTTTGGACCTGCACAAATTGTTTTAAGCTTGTTCTTGTTTAAAAGGAGCATATTAAATTTAGAAGTAGAATAAAGAAAAAACTTTTTTTTCTGGGAATGCAGTCTAGATTCATTTGTTACTACCTGCAATGTTTATCCACAGTACTTTTCTTTCCAGAATCAGCACGAGATAAACTTCACTTTATTTATACATATGCATAAACCTGCAAAGTTATCGCATTTACATGGCACAATACAACACTGTTGGGATGTATAGCTAGAGGTGTAACCTAGAATTTGAAAGAGATTATTTTAAAACAGTTTGTGGCTTTAATGAAGTACCATTGAAGTATTGTAGGTGCTTTTTGTCTCTTTTCAAATAATAATTTAGCTATAGGGGAATAATAAGATAGCTAATAGGAGATAAGTAATAATAAAAAAAAACTTGCATTTGGTATTGCGTCTTTCATGTCAGGAGGACGTCCCAAAGAGTTTCACAGGATTTACAGTGAAGCGACTGTATTTATAGGTGAATGTGACAGCCCAATTGCACGCAGCAATGTCTCACAAACAGTCATGAAACGAATGATCAATTTTATTTGGGTGTTTGTTGGCTAAGTTAATAGGAGAAACTATGTTCTCTTTTCGAATAGTGTTATTTTAATATCCACCTGAATAAACAGACTGGGTCTCAATTTAATATCTCATCTGAGGATGGCATCTCCGACAATGCACTGGAGTGTCAGCTTAGATTATGTGAGTTCAGGTCCCAATGTGGGTCTTGAACCCACAACATTCAGACCAGAGGCGAGAGTTCTATTATTGAGGCAGACAGGAGATCTAAAAGAGAATGACCAGTTTTTTGATCTGGGAGATTGTTGGGCAGGACACCGAGAGAAATTCCCTTCTCTTTTAGAATAGTGTTATTCGTTCTTTAATGTCAGACAGGCCTGAACAACCAGACAGGTCTATAGTTTAATGTTTCTGCAAATAAAATCTTGTTGGTGTTGTACCTCTCCAAGGTCCTGGAACGAGTTGTTGCTTCTCAGCTTCGCTCCTTCCTCTTCCACCACTCCCTTCTCGAACCCCGCCATTCAGTTTCCGTGCCGCCCACAGCACAGAAACAGCCCTGGTCAAAGTGACAAATAACATTCTGTCCATCCGCGACCAGGGCTCCCTCTGCCTCCTCGTCCTACTCAACCTCTCTGCTTCTTCCGACACCGTTGACCACTCACCTCAATCTCCACGGCGCTGTCCTTGACTGGTTCAGATCGTACCTCTCATACCTCCTGCACTTCATCTCAAATGGTTTCTCCTCTAGCCCCCGCACCGTCTCGTGTGGCATTCCTCAGGGCTCTGTCCTTGGTCCCCTCCTCTTCAATATCTATATGCTCCCACTTGGTGACATCATCCGCAGACATGGGGTCAACTTCCACATGGATGCGGATGACACCCAACTCTACCTCTTTGCCTCCACCCGCAACTCCAGGACCACTGCTGTCTTGACTGAATATCTGCCGGACATCAAGTCCTGGATGAGCCAACTTTCTTCAGTTGAATGTCAACAAGACCGAGGCTCTCCTGATTGGCTTCCGTCAGTGCCTCCACCTTACTAAGACAGACCGGAACCTTGAGGTTTTGTTTGACCCTCAACTATCCTTTCTACCCCAGATGACCCGCTCTGCCTTCCCCCATCTCCGCAACATTGCCCGGCTCCGCCACTGTCTCACACCGCAGGCCACTGAAACCCTCATACATGCTTTCATTACATCCAGGCTCAACTATGCAAACTCATTTCTTGTCGGCCTCTCCTACTCCTCCCTCCACAGGCTGCAGATCATCCAGAACTCTAAAGCCTATGTCCTCTCCCGCACTAGGCTCTGCGACCCTATCACCCCCATCCTTGCCCAACTCCATTGGCTTCCCATCATACAGAGGATACAGCTCAAGATCCTGGTCTTCACCTTCAAAGCTTTCCACGGTCTTGCTCCCCACTATCTCTGCAACCTCCTACCCCCTACCACCCTGTTTGCTCCCTTCGCTCAGCGGGCTCCGGCCTGCTTCACGTCACCCGCTTTGCTCGCCCCACTGTTGGCGGGCGGACCTTCTGCCACTGTGCACCCACCCTCTGGAACTCAATCCCTCCGCCTCGCCCCCTCCCTTGCCTCCTTCAAGACCCATCTCAACACCCTCCTCTTCGACCGTGCTTTCGATCTCCCTGCTTCCCACCCTGCCCTCCACCCTCCCCCACTCCTACCCCCAGCTCGGGTCTGTAACTCTGTCTGTCCAGCACCTTGGGACGTCCTCCCGACGTGAAAAGTGCTTTACAAATGTAATTTTGTTGTCACCTCTGACTGATAAGTTGATATAGTAAATAAAAATGCAGGTTATTTTTATAATGTGGAACAACCAGCACCGGTGATGGAATGAGAAATTACGAAGTTCTGTATTTTGAAAAAGAACCAACAAGTTCCTGCCAATTACAAGTTATTTTATTTATATATTTAGAATTATTAGATGTGAAGATGGGTACCTTGTGGGAAGTTTAGATGGATAGGCTAGATAGTCTGCTTTAGTCTGAAATTATTGCTTTCTTCACGTGCCAGTGAAATTCTTTATTTCCAGATTTAATATCCTATTTGTTTTCTAACTATTTACTTGTCGCACTATGGAAATTTACAATACAGATAAATTTGGCCCATTATTATAACTGTGCTGGATCTTTGAAGAGCAATCCATTCAGTTCCATTTCACTTTTTCCTATACCACTTTAAATTACTCCTTTTTAGATATGTATTCCCTCTTAAAAGTTAATATGAATTCAACCACATCTGGCAGGGCATTTCATATTCTAACAGCTGTGTGTGTGTATTTTTAAAAAAATCCTCTTTCACTGCTCCTTTGCTAATTATCTTAAATTGATGCCCTCTAGTCACTGACTTGCCAACCATTTGAAGCAATAAATGTGAACATTTTTAGAAATAATTATATGTCCACGGAATATTAACACTAAACACTCTCTGTTAAATATTTGTGTTATTTATATTGGTAAGCTTTTGGGATGGTACTTTGATGCATTTGATATATTGTAAGGGTAAAAAAGGGTAATAATTTGATGATCTTCCTTTAAAAGGAGAATTTAAGTATAAATATATACAATACAATATTTTGTGATATTGAAACTTTTAATTTATATACATTTAATGCTGATGTACTTGCAGAGATAGGCATCTGACTGTTTTTGTATATTTAGATTGCCTTTTATCAATGCTTCATAAAACACAATTATTGGTTGCATAATGGTCTTTCATTTATTGGTTACATTTCATGGTCTTTCAATGGACTTAAATTTAAATGAGCAGAACTAACAAAATCCATGACTTAAGTACCCGATCTGTGCAGTGAGAACTTCCGAAATGCATATTAAGTCAGTTATAGGCATTAATAAAATAAGCTGAAATCTGGAGAGGATTCCGTAAGTGGTAGAGGATGCTAATCAGTAGTTAATATTTCATGAAATGTTAGAGTTACATTATATTTTTGGAAAATTATTTGAGGAATTATTTTTCATTTTTTTATACCACCTTGAAAAAGAAGGTAGCTGTATTATTAAAAATGGATCTCTGAAAGCAGGATTTTCAAATCTTGATTTACACATTTTATATTGTTTTTTAAAAAACTGTAGACTACAAGGTAAGCATTTTTCCTTCCTGTTTAGTTGTTTCAGTGAAATATTTCAATGACTACCCTAATCCACATGAACACAAGAATAAAAACTTAATATGTATATTCACAGTAAAAGGCAATTGGAGACCTCAGTATTATGCCTGGGGATAGCAAGCATAGTGTCATTTTTGATGATATGAAAGCATCCAATAATTATATAGCAGTGAGCCATTCAAAGTAAATTGGGGAGAAAACTATGCTCAGATGGAAAATCAAGCAATTTCATGAAGGTTTAGTGCTGGAACGGTGGGTGAAATGGTATGTTGGCAAAGGCTCCCATGACATATTTCAAAGTGGAGCTCAACATTAGCCTCACACCTGCATTTTGCAGCAAGTGCAACAACAGAAATCCTAAACGGTAATCGTGCTGACTTTTCCGCTTCATATCCCTGAAGCAATCAAGCCAATTTAGTAATCCTGCAATTACCCTGGCTGGGATCAGCCAACTCGTCACAAGACTTAGGAGAAAACTATAACATGGGGCCTTCATGATCTATATGACTGTTTCAGATTAGATTGTCTCTTTAACAACTGAACCACCGTAAAAGCCCTGTGACTTTTATTTTTTTTAATGTGAATGCTAAACATGAAAATACTGTGCTAGGTAATCCATTACATTCAGTACCAAGTCAGATATTCCTGGAAAGTGGGGAGAGAGAAAGAGATGATCGCTTATACACACTGCTCTCACTATGGCTGCTTTGGTTTAAACAAAAAACAATCTTTAAAACAAAATTTTGGTCACTCACTCCATGTGGGACACTGCTGTGTGCAATTGGCAGTGTGTTTCGCCGACATAATACACAGTCAATATGCTGTGAAGCACTTTGCGACGTCTCATTGATGTGAAAAGACTCTACCAAGTGCAAGGATTATTATTTGGTTCTCAGACATGAAAAGCAAAGTTTTCTAATGTTTTGTTAATCTTACAAAAAATTATTTATACATTTTATTTATTAGTTAATGACCTAGAATATTCTTTTGTATTCAAGACTTGAGTAATGAGTGTTCAAGGATGTATCACAACAGTACACAGAAGAAATGCTGGACATTTCATAATGAGGAAGAACTGGAAACGATGAGAACTGAAGCCAATCAGACATTTCGGGCCAAGCTTTTCGGAAGTGGAAAGGTAAATTACTTGATTGATTTGCACGTTTAGAAAATATTCAATTCGGCAAGGTTTTAAATAAATTTTATCTTAAAAAGCATGTTCTATTGTACCTATAATCTGTCTGGTAAGTTTTAAGTTTTAATATCAGGTTTGAGCTTCAATATTTTATTCATTCTGAAGTTGTTTTAAAAAATTATAATCTTTTAAATTTTGGTGTGCTGAAATAGTAATCCTCAGTAGGTAAACATAGGTAACACTTCAGTGTTTTTGTTTAACAGTGTAGAATGGCAACACCATTTATCAATTCAAGTCTATGACCATTGATCAATACCTTCTGGAGATCCAATTTTGAATGCCACTGTAACTGTGGATTCAATTTCATATTAAATAATAATTAATTGATTAATAACATACCTACATGGGATAATGCATAATGGGTAGTGGGAGAATTCCATTTTCCTTGACAAAAGTTAATTTTTATCTTATTGTTTTGTTAATTCTAATAATAATAATAATAATAATCCTTGCATTTATATAGCGCTTTTCACGTCGGGAGGACGTCCCAAAGCGCTTCACAGAACACACTATAAAGTGAATTGACTGTATATTTGTGGGCGAACGCGAATTCTGGTGTAAACTTAAGTCATAAGTATTTGGCTTTGGAGCAAAGCTATGGTCAGATTTTCTTCTGTTGTGTTAAGTGATGGGATGCGGGTTTCCTTACAATTATTATAAATCTTTCACATTGGGAGGATGTCTCGAAGTGCTTCACAGCATACACTGTAAAGTGGAGTGGTTGTGTTTTGTGGGCGATCCTGGCAGCCACGGGAGAAAGGGAGCGAGTCAGAGGGACTCTGGAATGAAGTTCCAGAGAGTGGGGACAAAAACCCTGCCTGCCAATGGTGGAGCGGATAGGGTAGGGGGCATGAAGCAGGTCAGTGTTCACTGCGAAGAGAGTAGCTGGTTGCTAGGTTTGAAAGAGGTTGCAGAGATAGGGTAGAAGGATTTGAAGATGAGAATGAGGATCTTAAATTAGATCTGCTCAGGGATGGGGTGCCAGTGGGTCAAGCAAGGAGGGGAGCTGAAGCTCACGGAGCTGGGGAAAGGTGCTATACAAATTGAAATTGTATTGTAATGCCCTGAAGAACTGAGGAATACCACATTTGTCTCTGGGGGTTGGAGGAGAAGCCATTTGATAAGAGAAAGTGGATATGCCAGGATAGGTGGGGTGGGGGGGTTAACAAAAAATGTCAATTTAAATTTATTCATCTACACTAGGCAGTAAATCCTGTGAATCATTTTGAGATGTCCTCCTGACATGAAAGGTCCAATATGAAGTGCAAGGATTAATTTTATTTATCTGTAGAAATGGTTAGAAAGATTAGTTAAACATTTTTACTGAAGTGACTTATTGCTTTAGTTGTATATATTTCATTTCTTTCTTTGTATGCCATCACCTGGGCCAATAGAAAAGTGTGGAAATATTTGCCAAAATTGCGTCAAGATTTGTAAATTCTGTGGACAATTGCAGGGATTTGTTTGGCACATTTTGCAGAAAATGGCAGAATTGATTGGTCCTATTGAGGTACATTTTATTGCCAAACTATATTTTTTCACTCTTATTGATTATAATCTAAACATAAGGAAATAACACTTTAGATTGTTGCAAAAAATATTAATTACCTCTTTAATGGGTGGTCATTTTGTTTTTTTTGTGGTGGAATGGGGGGACACCAACCAGGCTACAGGAGCTCACCACTTCCTGCCTCTCAGGGCCAGCACCACACACAGAGAGTGAGAGGCACCCACAGACACTGAGAGAGAGAGACACATACTCACAGACATAGAAAAACACATGGACAGACAGACAGAGAGAGAGAGAGCGAAGATATACACACACACACAGACAGTGGAGAGACACACATACACATTCACACACATTCAGGAACACACACATAGAAGAGATACAGACACACTCACAAACATACATACATACTCACAGATGCACTCAAAACAGACATGCATACAGAGGAGAGAGATGCATAGATACTTACAAACGCGCACACACATACAGGGGAGAGAGAGACACACACACACACACTCACAAACGCATGGAGAGACACTCACACAGAAACTCACAAATACACATATAGAAAGAGACATACTCACACAGACACTGAAACACAGAGACACACAAACACTTACAAACACATGGAGAGAGACACACAAACACTTACAAACACATGGAGAGAGACACACAGACACTCACAAACAGAGAGGGACACACACACACTCACCAACACACAGAGAGACACACACAGAGAGATACAGTCACACACACAGACACTCAAACACAGAGAGACACACACACGTACACTCAAACACACATAGGGAGGGACACACAGACACTCACACGCACAAATACGCAGACAATCACAACAGCAGGGCCTCAGAGAAGCCCGTTGGCCACTTACACCGCACATACACACTGGCCAGAAACTACATTCATAGCGGGTTTGTAGTGGATTTCGCGGAAAAAGTACAGCTACACTTTTCTATTGGCCCAAGCCATCACCCAGAAGATGCATTCGGGTGCCAGTAACTGGAAGTTTACCACACTGCTATCTTGTGGCAAGACTAAAACACTACAATAATGTATTTATTACCTGCCGTTTAGCTCATTGTTATTATTGACTGTTACAACTTGAAGGAGCTTAATCTGGTCCTAAGTGAAAAGAAAATGAGTATAAATTTGAAATATTGGCTTTTGAAAAATAACTACACATTTGCCTGAAATTCAATATACGGCAGTTGGGCAGGAGGCATACATAGAAAACATTGTTACTTTATATTTTCATTTACAAGTGTTCGTGATCAAAGTTAGTCATTAAAGCTTTTCAGCATCTTTGCTGAGGAGCGACTACAGGCTCTCTAATACTTTTGTCTTAGTAATAGTTGTTTTGGTTTCATTGTAGTTCCCTCCAAATGACTCCACACATTTGCTGGAACCTCACGAAGAAGAAGTACTTCGTAAATACTATGAAAAACGACTGTTGGACTTTTGCAATGCATTTAAGCCAGTTATGCCCAAATCTGTGGTGGTAAGAAGATTGGAAATCTGCATTTAACTTGTCTTTTATCTTTACTTGTTAGTAGCCGTGTTACAACTTGACTATAAGTCTGTTCAAACCATTTTTATATCGCACTAGTGTGCTATGCACTGTAAAATAATATACTCGTGTTGATTCATTTTCATATGCTATATTTATGTAAAAACCTGGGTTCGATTCCGGGCAGGTAAGGGGGAAACCTTGGGCAAGTTTCCTTACTCCACACGCCTGATAATAATTCCTCAAGAAAAAAATACATTAATTGGTCACTTCAATCCATGCCTGTTTGTGGGACACTGCTGTGTGCAATTGGCTGCCACATTTTTCCCACAAATATACAGTCAATTCACTTTACAGTCTATTCTGTAAAGCGCTTTGAGACGTCTAGAAGATGTGAAAAGCACTACAGCAAATGTAAGGATTATTATTATATTACTAAACCACAACTAGAAATGTTTTGCTATGACTATTCGGCAGATTACATAGTACCAACACAAATAATCGACCCTATGAAATTTATTGAAAGTCACATATTCAACCTTCATTTGGGTACTGGACCTTCTCTGAATCTGTAAAAATCCCTGAAGGATAGACCAGAAATCTGACATGTATGGCTGGCCAACAAAATTCTGGTTTGTGCCACTGGAGTAACTATTATCTCTTGCTGTCTCTGATAGTACTGTCTGCAGAAGTGTATAGAAAATGTATTAACACAGGGCAATGTGCTAACATATTATAGTACTTCATAGCTGCTGCGATGAAGCTTTGAGGCACAGCATGAAATTAATGTTTCAAAGCTTGAGTAACATTCAAAATTTGCTTACTCTTTGTTATGCAAGTGCATTGAAAGCATTTTGCCTTTGCAATCAGAGTGCAGTGAGTATACTTTTGGATTATTATATTATAGTACTCGGTATGGCATACTTCTAATTGATAGATGAATATTAACAAAATATTAACATGTTTGAAGTGTCCTTCAATGATGTGCTTACTACATTTAAATTTTTTTAATTAAATTAATTTTTGAAATTGAATTGTATTACCATTGGAAAATCACTTGTATATTAACTTTTCAGTTTCTGAGAAATTCTTGTCTCCCCTTTCCTTGGTTTTCAGCTCATGGACTGATAATGAGCTGCACCTTTAACATTGCTTTTATTTCTCAAAAGTTGCTCTATTACTGTAAACCTGATTCTACAAAGTCTCCAAACTATATATTCTTCCAATTTTGGTTTTAAATTTTAAAATGTTACAAGAAAATAAAACTGCAACCAGTCGAAAGGAATGAAGGCTGTCAAAAATTGCAAATGCAAAATGTTGCAAACTATTGTAAAGATAATAACCCAAGTAATAATCTTCAGAACATTAGGATACACAAGCATACAGATGAAGGTAATATTTCCATATGAATTAAACTATTATTAGAAACTAGTTTAGCCAGAAACTGGTGTATAGCTTGAATAGAAGAAAATATTTTTCCCTTGTAAACAACAACTCACATTTATTTTTAAGTAGTGCCCTTCTCGCAGGGCATTAGCTAAGCCAAATATTGGAAACTCAAGTCCAACACAACATTATGAACATGGCGAGTGCTCAGTGAAATCCTGAGCCCTTGGCCGTGACCCCAGGTCCATTGATGTTCTGTTGCTTGCTGGGCTTATCACAGCCTCGATAAGCGCCAACTTTCTGCAACCGAATGTTGACAAGATGGAAGCCATCCTGCTTGACTCCATTAGCGTCTTCTCACCTGTGACTCTGATCTCCTTAAATTCCCTGGACTATCTTTCAGACTCGCTGAACCTTTGTGCAACCGAGACATCAGGTTCAAGCCTCAGTTATCCTTCCTACCCCACATACGGTCCTTGGCCAGGACCACTCTCCTCCATCTCTGCCACATGGCCCGCCTCTAACCATATCCCACACCCATTGGAGTTGAAATCCTCATTCATGCGTTTGTCACTTCTCACCTCGATTTTTCCAATGCTCTTCTTGCTGATTTGAAGGGATAACATTTACAGTTCTAATAATACGTAGCCAAAAGTCATAAATTTGTTCACCTGTTTAAAATACAAATTTCTTGTGTTAAGATACGTCATTGTGAGTGTATGCCTACAATGTTCTTTTTCATGTTTGTTTAGGGTACGGCAAGTATGTTTTTCAAGAGATTTTACTTGAACAACTCCTTGATGGAATACCACCCGAGGACTATTATGTGAGTCTTCATCTTTCATTTTTGTTGGGAAGACTGTTAACAAGGCTCGTCTATTCTCATATTTAATATGGGAATCAAATGTAAGTATTATTATAGAATCATAGAAACTTAGAGCACAGAAGGAGGCCATCCAGCGCATCGTGTCTGGGCTGGCTTCCAATAAGCAATAACCAGATTACTTCATTGTATAGGAGCACTTGACAAGGATGTGATTCATCGCTTGTCCTCTTTAGCTTGGTGATGTGGCAGCGGCTTCCAACCCGTATACTTAAGCAGTCGATGTCACAGAGGATTGCCCAATGTTGCTATATGTTGATGATTCAACAGATAGAGGTGGAATAGAGGAGTCGGAGAGAAGGCTCTTGCCGGGTTATAATAATAATACTTGCATTTGATATAGCGCCTTATCATGTCTTCGAAACATCTCAAAGCGCTTCACAGAATATACTATAAAGTGAATTGTGGGCGAAATGCGGCAGCCAGTTGCGCACAGCAGTGTCTCACAGTCACCGACTGAGTGACCAATTTATTATTATTTTTTGAAGGAATTATTACCCCCAGAAAAGCGATCTGTCAATCGACTAACAACCAGATTCTTACTTACTGCTAGGTAAACAGAGGCGTGTGGAGTAAGGAAACTTGCTCAATGTAGTTATTATTTACCACTCGGGTATCTCGCTTGCGAGGTGAGTGGTCTAACTACTGAGCTACAGGATTCCACACTTTAAGGTCATAGGGTTTAAATACAGGCATGGACGAGTTAGGCTGAATGACCCGTTTCTATGCTGTAACATGTAATCCGGTGTGTTTTTTTAAAAAGTACATATTCAATTAAAATTGAATTTTCACCAACCTGTGGTTGGTGAAAATGCCCCTCAATTGCATTTTTCCCCCAGAAGACAGTGAGTAACCTTGAAGTTTTGTTGTTGCTTCTTTAAGAGTTCCTTTTTATTTTTTGTAGTATTGTAGCCCTTTGTTTTGTTGTTTTTATTAAAGCATTTTTTATTTTTCTGATCTAGGTTGACCTGTGTATACTTGGCATGTAAAGTGGATGAATTTAACGTCTCCAGTTCACAGTTTGTTAGTAATCTTTGGGATAGTCCTGCGGGTCAGGAAAAGGCACTGGAACAGATCCTGGAGTATGAACTCTTGCTCATTCAGCAGCTGAACTTTCATCTGATTGTCCACAACCCATTCCGACCTTTTGAGGGATTTCTTATTGATCTAAAGGTATGATACAAATGGTGGTTTGGTTTGCTTTCTGGGTCAATTCAGAATAGTGTCTGTTTTGGAAGGCTTATTGTGCATAGTCTGATTTAACCATTTTTACTGCTGGGGATATCCTTATGAGTGGCATAATGCTTACCTTAGAACCTGTAAGTTATAGGCTGGACTGTTATTCTCCCCAGTTACAAGCTTTAATTGCATTATTCATTTGTTTTCAGTTTGACCACAAGAGAGAAATAACCCACATTTAACCCATTTTAAAGCCGGCATTCACTTGTTGAATGATCTGAAGCAATTTATACCAAAATCAATGAGCAGTTGTTTTATATTTCAACTTTTGTTTTTGATCGGTATGGAAAGTAAGAAGTAAATAATCCTTTCATTTAGTATATCACCTGTCATGTTGGGAGGATGTTCACAATATGAACTGCAAAGAGAAGTGACTGTTTTTTGTGGGTGAACATACCAGTTTTAGTTAACACTTCAATAAAAATTAAATAGAAGAACACAAGATCTCTGAACTCCAAAATGCTTTTCCTGTAGACATGGCCATATCTATTCTTTTGATTAAGTCCGTTAGAACGACAATGGTTTACATTTATGTAGCATCTTTCATAATGGGAGAATGTCTCAGAGTTTCACAAACCTGCTGTGTTTACTCATGTCCTGTTTTTGCTTTTCTCTGTTAAGAACCATTTTCTAATAACAATAAACCAATTAACTATTTGAAACTACTAACTTGATTAAGATATATCTTGTAGCTAAGTAAATTTTGTAACTAACTAAAATTAACGAATTGTTCCATCTGGTGGTTGCTGATAGAACTACATTCAATTATAATTTTGTAGTTAATTAACTTGCGATAAAACCGGGATTACAATTCAATTTAGAAAATTATTGTTTTAGTGAAAAATTAATAGAATTTGCACTCATTCTTTTTCATCCAAGGCTCGATATTCAGCGTTGGAAAACCCAGAAGTTTTGAGAAAAATGGCAGACGAATTTCTCAACCGAGGAACTATGACTGATGCTGGCCTTCTATTTCCACCATCACTAATTGCAATAACTGCTATCCATTCTAGTGCCTCCAGAGCTGGTATTAATATGGACGGGTATGTCTTTAACATTCATGCTATAAAATAATACAGCCAACATATTTTTACACGGTACATTTTTAATAGCCTTTCACTCACTAATGGAATCCCAATACATTCTCTGTAGAAGATTCCATTTTCCCAACATTAATGCAAGTCTGAGAATGGTAAATAAAACTAGGTAATGACTTAGAGTAAGAAACGCTCTATATTAAGTGCCCAATAAAGATTTTGCTTGTTTGTATATTAGGATGGGACTGAATGTTCATCCAAAAGGCATAAAGGCCAAACATCTAAGCCAACATAGTACTGGAAACAATGGATTATATCTCATGAATCTACTGGAATTCTTTGAGGCAGCAATAAGCTAACTTTTCATTCTTCATTAATGTGTATTGGAAAATTAATTGGGTGGTATGTGAAGCCATTGCATGAATTATTTTCATGCGTCAATGGAATTGTGTACATTAATATTCAAGGTCATAACTGTAAGGTGTTCATCCAGTGAATTTAGGTTTGATTATGTTCTTGGTGTTTTAGTTATTTGATGGAAAGCCTCCTGTTAAGAGATGATCGAGACTGCCTTTCACGGCTAGTTGAAGCAATCAGATGTAAGTAATCTTATCAATTGATATATAGAGCAGCAATTTATTTCAGGGGTGTCAAATATTCAGCCCCTTCTATTTTTTCTGATGTATGTGCAAACAGTAAGAGAAAAGGCCGCTGACGAGCTTATATCTTGGACAAACAAGAAAAGTGAGTTGTGTACGATGTTGCTATGGATATGCATTGTACTCTTGTGCACATGGACACAAGATTATTCCCTTAGCATGAAGGTCACTTTTACAAAGTGCTAACAATATAGTATTTCACCCACAAAATATTCACTCTACAGTATATTCTGTGAAGTGCTTTGAGACATCTCAACGATGTGATTAGGTGCCATTCCCAGCAGAGCGAAATGCTGGGCAAGTTTCCTTCCTCCATACACCTGTTTACCTAGCAGTAAGTCTTAGTCGATTGGTGGATTGCTTTTCCGGGGGTAATAATTCCTCAAAAAAACCAAATTGGGCTCTCAATCCATGATTGTTTGTGGGATACTGCTGTGTGCAATTGGCTGCCACATTTCATCCACAAACATAGTCAATTCACTTTACAGCATATTCTGTAAAGTACTTTGAGATATCTAGCAGATGTGATAAGGTGCTATATCAAATGCAAGAATTATTATTCCTTCTATACACAGCGTATGGTGAAGATCGGATGGAAACTTAGAAAGAGAATGAGTTGCAGTGAAAGAACTCACTTCTAAGGGTAAACTCAACACAGCCAATCAAACCTGACATTGATGTTCTTGTCATCAAATGGGTGTCAGCTCTCTGGTCCTTCAGTTTTTAAATGCAAGACAATCTATTATAATGCAAATGTCTAGTAGACCCACAAGAGTTGTTGCCATTTTTCCTGCATGCTCAGTTTGCAGAATGTGACGTTGGCAGGAGCTGCTTTATTCAGGAAATCAGTCTGACTATCCCACCACCCCCCCGTTCATGCTTATTTGCTCATCTAGTCTCAAAGGCCAAATCAGTTTGATGCTGATTTATTTGTAAAAACAAGTGAAATTGCTGAAATGTAATTCTGTAATAACGTGGCAGTTTTTGCTTCTGTTAAGATTGGTGTGTAAAAGGCTTAAAAGTTGTATGTTACAAGAATTACAAAAATTTATATATTCTAGAAAATCCAAACTTTATTTGGAGGTAATGTTACATATGCATTACAACAACTTGCATTTATATATGTAAGGTAATGTCTAGGAGATGACATAAGAAGTAAGAATTGAGGCTGGACTTAAGACAGAAAGAGTGGGTGCGATAGAGATAGGAGGGAGTTAGGAATGTTGGAACTTTCGGCTCGACCAGTGATGATGGTGTGGAAAGGGCGGAAGCGCACTGAAAGCCTAAGTTAGCTGAGGGGAGTGGGTGAGCAGGAGATGAGATGTTAGGGAGTAAATGTATTTGTAGATTTGAGGACTGGATGTGAGGAACAAAGGAAAGCTCGAGATCAAATAAGACACCAAGGTTATGTACCTTTTCAGTTTGATAGAAAGGTCAAGGAGGCCACAGCCAGAAGAAAGGAAGCATTAATCAACAACTTGACTCACTTACACAGGACATTAATCCTGGGATTGCAAATTGCATTTACCTCATTCACTGAATTTACCAATGCTCCCATGTTTTTTCTCTTCTGCTTAATTTTCTTGTTCTTTCCTTCATTTTCACTCCATAATAATAATCCATGCATTTGATATAGCCCCTTATCACTTCTTCGAGACGTATCAAAGCGCTTTACAGAATATACTTTAAAGTGAATTGACTGTATATTTTGTGGGCGAAATGCAGCAGCCAATTGCACATAACAGTGTCTCACAAACAGTCGTGGAATGAGTGACCAATTATTTATGTATATATATTTAAGGAATTTTTACTCCCGGAAAAGTGAATCCGCCAATTGACCAATAACCGGGTTCCTAATTACTGCTCGGTAAACTGAGGCATGTGGAGTAAGGAAACTTGCCCAAAGGTTCGCCCTCTACTTCATAGGCAAGAACACATTTAAGGGTAGTTCTCCTGTTTATTAAAAAAATTACTAATCTGCACATATTTTTCACTTGTCAGTAGTCACTAACCTTTAGTAGTGAGCAATACTGTTCTGACCCTTAATAGTTTTCTGCTACTGTGTCAATGTTCAGTAACTGAACCTGAGAAATAGGATTTGTTGTGCAAGTAAATGTTCATTTGAAGTTGATTGTTATTAATGTAACTGTACAGAATAATTCTATGAATATTTAATATTGTGTTTACCTTGCATTTGTATTTTAAATAATCCAAAAATTAATATATATATTAAATGATCACTTGTGTTCTTCAATCCAACAGTATATTAATGACTGTATAAATTGACTACCAGTAACTACCAGTAGAATACTGGTTATCAACATGTCTGTTTATTCTCAAAAGACGTTGATACAGTGAAATTGGCAAAAATAATAACCTCACATGAACAAGTAGAGAATATTTAGTACATTGTGGTACTATTGACACTATTTAAATGCTGATGGCACAATTTTTTATTTAACACTAACCAAATTGTACTTGGCGTAATGTCCCATTATCCATAGAGATCATTTCCAACTAGTATGACTCTACTATAATGTAGATATCCTGAATTATGTTGCAATGTAATGTTAAATCAGGAAACCATTTTACCTGTGGTAAGGGTGGCAATTTGGTGGCCATCATTTTTTGGGGGGTTCTTAAAATTAGGGTTAATATTCAAAGACCATTCAGTTCCTCTTTGAAGCTTGATATTGTCCATTTAGGTTTTCCCACCTCTAACCAAATTAAGCGTATTTGGAAATGACCTGTTGATTTATTGCATGCTGAAGTATATTCTGAGGAAAATAAACATGTAAAGATTTTTTTTTTGCATATTATGTATTATACTTGATTGTTTGGCAACTCAAATTATTTTTACATCTTGTGTTGAGTAGGTATAAAGACCCTAGTAAAGAAGTATGATCCTCCCAAACCTGATGAAGTTAATCTTCTGAAACAGAAGCTGGAACGTTTTCATAGCTTAGATCTTGGCTTCAGTACAAATCTGTAAGTAATGCTGACTCTTTGTTAGTGATATTAAAAGGACATCAGGATTTGCTATATTCAAGCTGAACTAACTGTATTAATTGCAACTTTTGGTTTGCAAATTGTGATCAAAGACCACCAAACAACCCTGTGCCAACTAATTTCAATTTTACACAATACATTTGGTTTGAATATCACAAATTATAGTGAAACCTTGTTAAAATACAGCAGTCACCAGTTTGCTAAAATATTTCAGGGTTTGGTTATAATGTTCCTTAACTTGGTCAATTTAATTTTGTTTTGAACCAAATAATTTTTTTTTTGCATTGCTCTGCTTGATTCTTTTAAGTTAGCAACTTAACAACTTGCACTTATATAACACCCTCCACATAGGGTAGCGTCTCAGAAGGCTTAACAGTGGCGGAGCCTGACTACGAGCGGGGGGGAAGGGGCCACAAGCACGGTCGAACAGGAAAGCTTTCAGGCGGGACTTGAAAGAGGGGAGAAAGGTGGCGGGATTGGGGGAAGGGTGTTCCAGAGTTTTGGGGCCGAGTTAAATATTAATTTAATCTAAACTTGCTTAAGTTTTTTCATGTTTGATTAGTGCTAAAATAAAGGTGATAGCTGCACTAGTCCCCACTTAACAATTGGACATATTTGTATCTTTAGACAGTCTGCATATGTAGATTAAAGTATTTAACTGTGTGTTCACAGTAAGAGAAAGAAAGGATACGAGGAAGATGGAATCATTTCAAAGAAAACCAAAATGGAAGAGGTTAGTGAAATTCAGCTAGTTTCCCAGTATTTGTTTTAAAAAGCTATGTTATGAAAAACTGTGGTACTAAAGAAGAAACACAAGAGCAGGTTGGCTTGTGTTATTTCCTTACTTATTTCCCAGATTTTGTACAAAATTTAATAAGTTGTTAACCTGGTGCAGTTTGTAACACTTGCCTCTGAGTGAGATGTTTGTGTATTTAAGCCCCATTTTGCATCTTTGAACTCAGTCTTGACTGAGATTCTGTAAAAGAGGTTGTTGGAAAACTGACGCAGTTTAGGTGGTTGTTAAAAATCCAATGGCACTACTCAAAAGGTTTTTCCTATTGTCTTGGCTGACAATCCCCAGGTAACAATTCAGTTCATTGTCTTTTGTGGGCCATTGCTGTGTGCAAAGAGGTAGCCATATTCACCTACAAACTACATTTTATAACAAAGCCTGTGAAATGCTTTGAAGACATCCTAATGGTATTAAAAGTACAATATCACATGCAAGAATTATCAGACCGAGCACAATTTTGCCTGCAACTTGCACTTCCTTCAAGTCATTAAATGTTATTGTCCTTACTGATATGATTTTAGTTTTCCTGTAGATAAGCTTTTAAAATTATAAGCAAATTGGTGACTGACGATATAGCTTGATTAGAAATCTCATCTGCTCCCTTCCATTTAAATTGTAGTAGAGATTGATGAAAAAGTGCCAACAATTCTCTATAGGTTAAGGACATTTTGAATATCCCTATTGGATTATTGGTCTCTTTAAAAAGACAGACTGAAATCTGTGTGCACATGGATCAGGCTAAATTTTTGAAACTTAATTATGTGATTCACACCATTCAATATCTTTGATCATGGTCACCTGAACAGGTTATACAATTATTTTGTCTTATCTGCAGGAAGAATGGAGTGATGAAGATCTAGCAGACACCATGTAAATTGCTGATGGAATTGACTGATCTCACCAATGATCTGCAGCTCATTTGAGGCATATGACCAACCCAAGGAGGATGTGGCTTTAAGATGAGATACACTTCTAAATATGTCAAGTTAAATTTCCACTGCTGTAGTCAACTAAATTACATTTCTCTGAAACTTGTTTGAGAAAATGTAAGTCATTGTTCCCAACGTCTTCAGAAAAGATCATGCCAAAATGTATGATTGTTCAGTTCACAGTGACAGATTAACCAAGATTGTGGATTATGGAAAACATTTGAAATAAAGATTTGCTTTGTAAATTTTCACACAAAGAAAAAGATGTTGAATGCTTGCATTTCATTACCTTTCATCGTGCATGTAAGCACGTTGTTATTATTTCCCCAGTGTTTGAAATAAGATCTAAATAATTTGACTTGAGTAATTCTATTTCATGGTATCCCATCACCTTTTTTAAATGCAAGGGATACAAATAAGTATTGGTCAATATAACTTGTGCTGCCATAATAATTTTTGTCCCCCTATTCAGAACTTGACTAATATAAAACAAATTCAGATTTTGTACTGTGAAGCATTACATGTTTATTTCACTTAAACCTGGGCCTTAAGAGCAAGAGTTTTTCCATCGTACTGTTCCTATACTTGCATTTAAAGAGTCAGTTAGGGTGCTATTAGTGGCCTTTAGTGAATGTTTAACACAGCCTGTACAATATTTAGCAAACAAACTGGTCTTTTTGGAAGATTATACAAATGACAAACCTTCTAAAGCAGTTTCCATTTACACACATGCTCTATTTCCGCTCCCAAATAGCTTTTTATGACTGTGGCTAAAGCCACTGACATCCTGTCACTTTCATTTGACCTCTAGACATTTTAATTGTCTTGTTGAAGTTTGGGTTGTCAGATACTCTGTTGACTCAGGGGTGCCCTGATCCAAATCAACTTTATGAAGCAGTACAGCACAAGTCTAGGTCCAACATCCTATATCAAACATTTGACACAAGATCCCAGCATAATGAATGCGCTTGCCAGACCTAGAGAATACCTTCCTGGGAATCCTTAATACCCATTCAGTCAACTGCCAAGCTTAAGACTTCATCTTGATCACTTGAAGAATGATTTACCATCATGAAGCAATGAACCTTACAAATGGGCATTACGTGCAACACTGAGCTACTTTTCCCAATGAGCCTCATCAAAATCCACCCTTGCAGCAGCCTTTAATCATACAACGAGACATCAATTTACAGATCTGCTTTTACCTAATTGTTTGCAGCTTGAGTAGCTCCCAACAAAAAGCTAGGGTACTATTCAATGTGAAACCATTGAGCAACATTTGATTTTCTCCCTCCAACATATCCCAGACAAGAATAAATCACAATATTTTAGAAAATATATCCTTGTAACACTTAAGAGTTCTTTCTATTTCTTAGGCAATGTGATTGTTTCCATTTCTTTGCAAAGTTTTACAATATTTGGATCTGAAATCCATAACTGATGCACATTTCACTTTAAAATAAAAAATTTAAATAACTGGTTACTTTATAAAATGGTTTAATAAGTGCATGCATTTCCAATACAATAATCAATAAATTTATTGAACTATTCCATGTGTTTACAGTTGTAAACATTACTTACAAAGCTTTTGATTTTGTGACTAAGAACTTGTCACACTATTGTCCTTTTATGGAAGACAGCCAGCCAATCATACAGTATAATTAAACTGAATCAAAAAAATCAGTGGCACAACAAAACAAATGCTGTGATATTTCTACTCATCCATTCTTTTGTCACTCAATGAATGTCTGTTGCAGAAGAATTTTTCTAGGAGTACAAAATAACCAGTTTTTAGTTAGGAATTCCTCAACTTAATGATGAACCTGCATTTAAAGCATTCGTCCAATAAACTGTATAACCTTGAGATTAAAGATGTAAGCAATCTTAACCATTGGAGTAGTCAGTCACAAATTATAGTATAAAATGCTGTCGAGACCATAGTCCAGTTTTAACAAATTCAATGCATTCTTCATTTCATCAGTTGACTGGCATTTCATACTACATCTTGGAAAACCACCCTGGGAACTTTGGCAACTTGAAATATTAAAACATCTCCAAGGCCCACGGATATCCACCTAAATTTGTGAAAGGTGGCTTGTTCACCAAGGCTCAGTGGCGAGTGATTGGTTCAGAGCAGAAAGTGCAAGTGGTGACCTGCACAAATAGCTTACAAAGTTACTGGTGAAAACATCAACCAGAATTTTTTGCATAGTTCGCACAGCAGAAGGAATGTTGTACATGGGTGTCAATTCAAGAGTAGCAGGGAAAAGTGGGATTGCTGTGAGTTGTCCAAAGACAATGGTAGTGCGTGCAGAATTCTGTAAACCTTTAAGGCTGCTTGCTACCTGTTGCTGTTAGACATTGAATACTGGTTTTGTTTCTGCTGCAACAGTTCTGTAATGGCCAGAAGTTTCTTCAGGACATGCTGAAAAAAAGTTAAAACACTGGCTTCAGGTACAATAAATAATACATTCAGAAGAAAGTTTTAACTGATGCTATACAATAGTCCATTTACTGGAGATAGTCTGTCATTTGTTCAAATATCAACTATCAACATTCAAGTAAAACTTTTTTCCAATCTCAAATAGTTGGATGGTGGAAAAGAGCAATTAACTGGGTACATGGAGCAATTCCAGTCTTTAGTCCAGGATGCTCTAAGAATCTAATTCATTCACTCTCTAGTCACCATTGCTAACAATAACTTGTCCAGCTTAATTTAGATGGGGGGCATGGGGAACATGCTTCACTGTGAAGTCTAGAATTTTTCATCGTAATGCAGCATTCTGACAAGAAGTATTGGAATAGTACTTAAATGACTTGATGAATGCACCAACTAGCACTGCCCTGAAGCCGTAGATTTATATTCTACAATAACAACTTGCATTTATACAGCATCCTTCACACAGGATAGCGTCTCGGATTCTAGTCACCTGCTGGACTCCCCGTTCGTTGCTTTGGGTGCGAAGTTCATCAGAATGTGCTGAACATACTTCATGCAAGGCTGCCAGGTCACGAGACAAGTCAGGCCTAAAGTGCTCTGTTGTGCAAGGGAGGTCAGGAATATTCTGAAAAGGAAATTTTACCCTTATATTAAAAACAGCTGATTGTGTGCAAGTAGAAATTTGAAAGTAGAACTGGAATCCAAGATGGAACTAAGTAGATCATTCTTATAACTCAGGTAACCAAAAATAACTGAAAAAGTGATTCCCAAGAGTCTTAATACTAGTGGCATTTGGACACTCACAATTCATTTTCAGGACCACATAAAATGCAATGAGTGCTCGTCTACTAAAGACAGCACCACAGTCACATTATTTGTGTGTGAACTGAAAGGTGTGAAACAAACAGTAAAATGAAAAAAAAACTTAAAACACCTTTGTGGAATAGCATCGAGCAAGAGATGAAGTTATGATGAAGTAGTGGGGTAAGGCACATTACACACCCTAAGGGGAAATGGAGAGGAGGAACAGAAAAAGTAAAAATGCTTTTATTCAGCACATTATGAACTCAAGTTCATATGGCTGCAATATTGCAACAGACTGCTGGAATCTTTATGTCTACCCATGCCAGTTTGTTGAAAATGGAAATGATTGTCTCCATTTTGCCACAGTTGCAAATAATATACAAATAAACTTCTAAAACAGTAATTCAACTACATATTGTGCCATAATTTTAAATTATTTCAGTGTTTACATATTTATGCATTCTTGCTATTAAATACAAATACCTAATGCTAAATATGAGGTAGACAATCATTAACAGTGCGAGACCCTTGCATTTAATATATCAGAAGAGATTGGCATAATATCTAACAAGACTTCAATACACATCTTGTTTTGGTGCAGAAATGTCCTACTATATTAAAGAGATTTCTTGAGAAACTGTTCAATACTGAACAAACTTACCCCTAATTCATCTAAAAACATAATCATTCGATGCTTGTTGTTCTTGATGAATGGATTTACGCCTTCCATGTAGGGTTCCTGTGACAGAAAAATTACAATGTATGATCTGTATTTGTATTTTCTGTATCAGAATTATTGATTGTTCTATTCAAACTCCACATATTTAACTGTCCTGCTAACCTTCTGCTTCTGACAATTTAAAGAGCTACAAGTCAAGAAAAAAATATTCACTACAAACTTGAACACACAGTCCACAGAATTATCAACACAAGAATGCATTAATCATGAAGTCAAAACTCAATGTCACGGAGTTCAAATGTAATTTCACAAGAGCCAGAGTGGAGCAAGAGACCTGTGGAAGAGCATCATAAAACATTTTTTTGAAGAAGGGAAGCTCTTTTCCTACCTTATTGAAATGTATCCAACATTTCATTTAATTTCAGCAACCATTCAATAATAATCTTGCACTGTATACATCACAATCTTATTTACTCATCAGCTATGTCTATTTCTGACAAGGTGCTATCAAAGATATAAAAACTGAACCAAAATAGGTTCAGACAAACTTAATTGTACATTGACAACAGCATAAATATTTGCTGTTACCTTGGCTCCAAATTCCACCAAGTTTGCTAAGTTTTGAAGTGACTTAGCAACAAGTGTAAGAGTCCTTGCAGCTGTGGAAGAGGGGGGATCTGTAGAGGTAGGAAATAAAAAAAAATTGTCAATCATCACACTTCAAATATAATACTGTTTGAGTGGCACAGTACAACCCTGTTATAAGGCTGCAGTTGGGTTCCATAAAATTCCAACCTGCCTTATAACAGGGTGCTGCCATTGATCAATGCAACGCAGAAAGGTGGTTGGCTTCTTGCATGAAAAAAAAACTTTGGGGCCATCGGGTCACCATCTAACGTCACTTTCTGCAGACTTTGTATGTGCAGGAAGCTTCCTGCACGTAATTCCTATATATGGTCAGAAGGCAGATAAATGAGCAGGAACTTGGCAACCCACAAGTCAAGACATTGTTTACCATGCAGGTCCACAGCATACCTTCCTTGTAAAGCATATTCTTATGACACTGGTTTGTTTATAACAGGGTTCCACCATATTCCGTGGAAATTGTTTATGTTCCATGTTTGACAGATTTAAACAAAATAAGCCACAAGGAAGTAGAATACAGCACATTACTTAAAACACAGTAACGATGGCAGATTGACAGTTTCAATACGCTGATACAAAAGCTACCTACTTTTCTTTAAAAAAGGGTATTCCAAATGGTCTTTCCCTGCCCTGTGTAGTCTTCTGAATAGGATTTAATACTCAAAAAGAAAATCAACTTAGCAATGGTAAGTAATGCAATACAGCCTTACTGTCAATTTCTTATAGGCAAAACAAAAACAAAATAAAAATTTTGCTAACGGCATTTTGTTCTGTGTATGTTTTCTTTGAACAAAAAGTTCTTTCCCTTCTCCTCCCCAACTTCATTTCTTGCTAGAAGACACTTCATGTACTTAAAGTACATGCAGCAAGTAAATGATTTCCAGACCACCATTGCTACTGCAGATAATATGCAACAGAGGGCAGTCACCAGTATTCCTTGCCCTGCAACAGGGTGCAGTTCCCTAAACCAGAACATAAGAATTAGGAGCATGAGTAGGCCATTCGGCCCCTCCAGCCTGCCCCGCCATTCAATAAGATCATGGCTGATCTATTCTAACTCCACCTACCCACCATCCCCCTTAATCCATTTATCCACAAGAGATCTATCAATCTCAGTCTTGAACATGTTCAAGGACTGAACATCTACAGCCCTTTGGGGTAGAGAATTCTATAAATTCACTAACCTCGGAGTGAAGAAGTTTTTCCTCAACTCAGTGCGAAAGGGCTTACCCTGAATTTTAAGACTGTGACCCTTGGTTATAGTTTTTCCAACCAGGGGAAAAAGTCTCCCACTATCTATTCTGTCGTATAGGTTTCTGTAAGATCACTTCTCATTCTTCTATATTCTAGAGAATATAGGCCAAAATTGCTCAACCTATCCTCATAACTCATCCCCTCATCCATGGTACCAACCTAGTAAATCTATGTTGTACCCCCTCCAAGGCGAATACATCCTTTCTTAAATAAGGAGACCAAAACTGCACACAATATTCTAGGTGCGGTCTCACCAGGGCCCTATACAGTTGCAAGACTTCCCTACTCTTATATTCTAACCCTTTTGTAACAAATGCCAACATACCGGTAGCCTTCCTAATTACTTGCTGTACCTGTAAACTAACTTTTTGTGACTGGTGTACATGGACACCCAAGTCCCTTTGAACGCTAACACTATCTAGTCTCTCCCCTTCTAAAAAATAATCTGCTCTACTATTTTTGCCACTTCGGTGGATGACCTCACACTTCCCTACATTATAATTCATCTGCCACCTATTTGCCCATTCACTTAACCTATCTATATCTTGTTGCAATTTTTTTAATGTCATCCTCGGTGTTTACTCTCCCTCCTAGTTTAGTGTCATCCGCGTATTTGGATATATTAAGTTCGATGTCCTCATCTAGATCGTTGATGTAGATTGTAAATAGTTTAGGCCCAAGTACTGATTCTTGTCACATCCCGCCAATCTGAGAAGGACCTGTTTATCCCTACTCTTTGTTTTCTTCCCGTTAGCCATTCTTCAATCCCTGCTAATATATACCCCTTAATTCCATGGGCCCTAATCTTGTGGACCAACCTTTTATGCAGCACGTTATTGAATGCCTTTTGGAAATCTACGCTAAATCCACTGATTCTCCCCATCTAATCTACTTGATATGTCCTCAAAAAAAAACTCTAAAAGATTTGTTAAGCATGACTTCCCTGTTGTAAAGCCATGTTGACTCTGTCTAATCGTATTGTGATCCTCTAAGTAACCCACTACGACATCCTTAATTAAGGATTCTAGAATTTTCCCTACCACCGATGTCAGACTAACTGGTCTATAGTTCCCCATCTTTTCTCTCCCACTTTTCTTAAATAGTGTTGTGACATTTGCAATCTTCCAATCAATGGGAACTGTACCAGAATCCAAAGAATTTTGGAAGATCAGACACAAGGCTTCCACTATCGCATGAGCTACCACTTTTAAAACCCTAAGATGCAGACCATCAGGTCCAGGGAACTTGTCACTTTTTAATAACATAAATGTAGGAACAGGAGTAGGCCATTCGGCCCTTCGACCCTGCCCCGCCATTCAATCATGGCTGATCTTCTAATCTAACTCCAGCTAATAACCCTGCCTTATCCCCATGTCCCTTAATCCCTTTTGCAATAAGAAATCTATCTATCTCAGTCTTGAATATGTTCAAGGACTGAGCGTCAACAGCCCTTTGGGGTAGTGAGTTCCATACATTCATCACGGTTTGAGTGAAGAATTCTTCCTCAACTCAGTGCGAATGGGCTGGCCTCTGATTTTAAGGTTGTGACCCCTGGTTTTAGTTTCTCCAACCAGGGGAAACAATCTCCCACTATCTACTCTATCACACCCTTTGATGATCTTATAGGTTTCTATAAGATCCCCTCTAATTCTTCTACATTCTAGAGAATATAGGCCCAAATTGGTCAGCCTATCCTCATAACTCATCCCCTTTATCCCTGGTACTAACCTAGTAAATCTATGCTGCACCCCCTCCAAGGCAAGTACATCCTTCCTTAAATAAGGAGACCAAAACTGCACAGTATTCCAGGTGTGGTCTCACCAGGGCCCTATACAGTTGCAGCAAGACTTCCCTACTCTTATACTCTAATCCTTTCATAATGAATGCTAACATACCGTTCGCCTTCTTAATTGCTGCTGCCCTGCAGACTAACTTTCTGTGATTGGTGTACAAGGACACCCAAGTCCCTCTGGACGCTAACACATTCCAATCTCTCCCCTTCTAAAAAATAACCCGTTCTACTGTTTTTGCTACCTAGGTGGATGACTTCGCACTTCCCTACATTATACTTCATCTGCCACCTTACCTGCCCAATCACCTAACCTAGCTATGTCTCACTGCATTTTTTTAATGTCGTCCTCTGTGTTGACACTTCCTCCTAGTTTTGTGTCATCCAGAATTCAATCATATTGTGATTAATGCCAACAATATCCCTAGCACCAATTCTTTGCTAATGTAAATTTCCCTAAGTTGCTCCCTATCATTAGCCCCATCTCTAAAGCAGTACAACTAAGTTCAGAAAAAAAGCAAAGTTGTAATTTACAATATCTTTCTAAAAGCTTTTCACAGTAATTCATCAACTTATAAACTAAAATGCTACCCCAAACTTATCCCATCCTGAAGAACTACATCACAATACAGACAACTTACCTACTTCTGCTTTTCAAATGTTATTTAGGAGTATCAATACTAGTCATTAGTCTTTTGTTGTACAATGGGTTAATGACACCCAGAGCAACATCATAAAGTGTCAAGCAACCCATCAGTACTTCCTTTATTCTTGGATAATTGTGGCAAGCTAGACTATTATTAGCACATTTTAGGATTAAAATCTGCAACTTTTCCTTTTTTCTTTTCCATGAACTGTAATAATTCTGTGGTCTAAATACATCATTGCCAGGATGAGAAACTTGGTCAAGCTCTGAACACTAGCTTTAATTATGCAATAGTATACAAAGGCTCACTACCATTGAATTTGGTCACACTAGCAACTTCTCCAGCACCCTTCACGTGGGGTAGCTTACTGCATTCTGCAACTTCATCCATCCAGTCAAATACACAAATTTGATTTTAAGAAAATTCACCGGTTTTATAACGAATAGAAATTCACAGATAGTCAGATTACTGACCTTTTGAAGTGTGACGATGTGCAAGCTTGTACAAAGCATGACTCACCTGAAATAATATTGAACAACCGTGGATTGAGAATGGCTGGACAGATCAACCGCAAGAAAACAAATCCACTGGAGGAGGGGGGGGGGGAAAAAAAACACATGCATCTATCATGTACGCTATTCATAAAAATTCCTCAATCCCCTCAATATATGTAGCACTAACTGAAATGTAATTTTCCAAAGTTCAATAATATAATAATATTGCACACTCAATTTTTGACAAAAGTGAAGAAAACCCTCTTAAGGTAGGCACTCTTTCTTCAAACTTGAGCATCTCCAACATAGTAAGCAGGAAGAATTCCAATTAATTCTGCCCTTCCTGCACATATGTAAAGGATGCCGCTCCTAGGCATAATGTATTAATTGAAGTGATATTTATATTTATTGTAATGCATGAAATAGTTATGGAAATGGTCACTATTTAAGACTCATCTTTTTGATCTTGTTTTCAATCATCTCTTCCCCCAGTCAGTGGAGTTGACCATTTTTCTTTTAGCAAGTGAAATACCCTGAGCCTAGGGTGGCCAGCTGAGTGCAGTGAAAAGATAAGCACAGTAAAAAGATCCATCATGCCTCACGGGATTTTATGGATCTGAACGGGTTATAATGGGGATCTACTATATAGAATGAAAATGGATTCACAAAATATTTTACCTCACCACTCTAGTCCTCATAGTAGGATTTTTCGGCCACTTCTGCTGAACAGATTTTTGTAAGCACCCATAAATATACCGCAAAGCCCTGTTAAAAATACAATTAACATTAGAATAATTCACAGGAACATTAATAGTCCAAAAAGGTATCAAGTCTTCTTAATAATCTAA